GTATGCATTTAAAAAAATCTTAAAAAAAAACAATAGACCCAGAACATCTTCTGGCCCAAGCATTATTAAAGTTTCTACTGTGACTGTTTCACCTTGTTTCAGAGCCAATGTGTTGGCTCAGTTGCCCTGAAGGTATTTTCAGGTTGTTTTATAAACACTGTCGGGGGCTTCCCCTTGGAGCATGGCTGGTTACCAGGGGTGAGCAGTGGCAGGCTGTTTGGGACTGGCTAGGAGTCCTGGCTGGATGGTATATAGGGAATCGGGCTCTGGGTGGGCGGCATCAGGTACAGTGCAGGCAAATGGGGCCAGGACTCAGCAGGTGCTCACCTAGAATCAGTCACTAGAGCTGGGTTTGAGGTGGAGTTTGTTAGTAGGACACAGACAGAGTAGAATAGGAATACCAGACCTGCCTTACAGGTCTGACAGAAGTCAGTGTTAATGACCTGTCATAGTCATAGCATCTTAATAGGTATGGTTGGCCTAACTTCTTGCCAGTGTCTACACAGCCACCCTGTGAGAGTTGACAAAAATAGCTCCATTTTTGAGGTAAGACAACCGAGGCTTTAAGTTTAAGTAACTTGCCAGAGGTGACAAAGCTCAGTGCAGGTGACAGAGATTAGTGCTGAACTCACAAGCTGGTGGCTTCTAAGGCCGGTTACCACCCACCCGGCTTCTCCAGGACAGGGTGATGCTGAGGAAGTGTGGATTTTATTCTGGAGAAAGGAGCAGTTGAAAGGGCCTGAACATCATCCCCTCCCCTAACCCACTGGGATTTAGAGGTATTGGTGCAGGGGTGAGGCGGAGGGGGTGAGGAGAGACACAGAAAGGGGTGATGGAAAGCAAGGAGTGATAGCAGGGAGGGATTTAGGAGACAAAGGGGGTTGCAGGAGGGAAGGGACAGTCGGGCTTATTTGAAGAGGGCATTGTTTGGAAAAAAGGAACAGTGATGGGAGAGGGGGTAACAAGGAGGGGGTCCTAAGGGAGAGGGAGGTGCTGAGAGACCAATTATGTGGCAGAGCTGGGATTTAGGGGGAACTCTTCTCCCATAGGAAACTTGCCATAACAGGAGGGTCTCAGGTTTCAGAGGTAACCCCTCTCCCTGGAGAGAGGGCACAAGATGGGGGTGGGGGACTGGCTTCTTAGTCTCCTTACAGCTGGGCTCCGGGCACTGGATGGAATCAAACCCAGATTCAGGAGTGGGTTGACAACAGTGTTTTCCTGTGCTCACTTTCTGACTGCAGCAGAATGTTTTTGCTTAAAGTTATGACAGCCTGCTAACTCTCATTTTTTCACTGGTTTCCATGGGTCCAGTGCGCTTCAAGCTGCCTCTGAGGCCCCATGTGACACCTTCCACTCTCCGCTTCACTTGTCTCAGCCTTTGTGGGGTCACTGGCCTGTCCTCCTGCTGTAAATTTGCCCCCACTGATGATAGCCGTAACCACCTTTCTGCTATTTGAACAGAAAGTGATTTCTAAATTTTTTTTGAAGATTTATTTATTTATTCATACAGAACTAGGGTACAGACCAGAGATGCGGAGGGTGAGAGGATTCACTGGGAACAGAGTGGGGAGCAGAACAGGCAGATCAACGAAGTACACTGCTGAGGG